CAAATCAAATCAAATCAAATCAATATTTCGAATATATGACCCTATAAAAAAAATAAAAGAAAATGTTTACCTGCCCGGTCAGGCAGGCATTGGGACACACCCACCTGCCCGAATATGAGTTTTACCTGCCCCGGGCAGTCGGGCAATAGGATTTGTCGAAGACTGTTTAACATTGTTTTATACCCTAAAAGTGATTATCGACCCATGACTAGTAATCAATCACAAGCTATGAGAAAAGTAAAAACAATGACAGTTAAACCTTTTTCCTTCACAGAGACCCCAAAGTGAAGAGAAGGAACAGTTCCCCACAGATTGTCATCAAACCGGCGCCATCATCAGTCTAGGAACAGAGTCACCTCACCGCTGGTATTTCTTCCATAGACCATCACCGTCCCGTTCTGCAGGCCCGCAAACAGGAAGCGCGAGGAGTGCTTCAGGCACAGCACAGGGCAGCCCTCTGGGTTGTGGAGGGTCAGCAGGCACTGCGCTGCCGTGTCCACACTCCCATAGACCAGGATGCTGGAAGACCAAGAGCAGCACAAACCAACGTGATAAATGAGTGTCATTGGAAATGACAGAGTGCCTCGTTTTCATGCAGTTTGATTTAACAGTGCGTGTGCGAGGAGCCACCTGAACTTTGCTGCATCTTACTGTCTTCTACCGAATGACAAATGCATATCTGTGTTTGTTTCTCTGCGAAAAGAAAACGTTCGGCAGCAGTGGAGCTGACAGGCTTTCGAATAATCCAAAARGCTGAATAGTTTTTTTTATTTCCTCTCTTTTTTTATTTTGCYATGCGCATATTTTTTCTTTCTCCCAGGATAGACACTTTAACTGGAAGATGATGTGTCAGCACACACAAAGAGCAGACTTTTGATTTCAGTAACTCCTAAAATAACTATCACTACAGTTAATTAAAACGGGATAAAAATGATACTAGGTAAATCCTTTCTGAGAGAACTCTGACTGAAAAAAGAAACAAAAAACCAATCTATTTACTGTGACTGTGACATAAGACTYAGATTAAATCTCTCCTCGAAAACCTTTTGATCCCCATTGTGTGGGAATCAAAAGGTTTATTGGATTTAAAAATGAAACTGATCTCAGCGCAAGTAGCAGTATTGATGCTTTTGCCGTGATATCAACTCAGACTTCTTGTTTTGATGAAATATTGACAAGCAAATCRGTGCGGCTGGAAATCTCTGAGGAGCGTGACAAGGCATGATATTGGGTACTATTTTACAGCAGAAGATACAGAGCGTACTGAAAAGCATCATGTCCTTATCGTTAAAGACAAGCCTCTCACCGGCCGTCCTCCAACCCAACACAAATGTTGGTGCCGATCCCCGAGGCGGCCTTGTGCACGCCCGCCTCCTCGGCCGGTGAAGATACCGGCACGTACTCCAGACTTCGGACGGCAGAGCCCACCTGCAGGCTCTTCACATACCTCGGGGTGGGCCTGTTGAGGGAGAATATCTCTACGTGGCCTTGGGAGCCTTCACCTCCACCAGCAACCTGCAGGAAACAGAAAAGAGCCCCCATAGGAAGCTGTGCTGATGGACTGAATCKTAATGACATCAATAATGGGGCTATTCTGCTGAAAATGGAGAAAAAGGGTCGAGGAGGGCAGCGAGAACAACCAGGTCAGCCTTTCTTAGCTCGTCCTAAAATGATATTTTCTCTGTCATCGTCAGACTGCAAGGCCAGAGGATAATGTGTCTTCTGTCGAACGTTTTTTACGCACCTCAGCAAAGCCAGTTTAAAGAACTATTTGGATCACTGATCCGAGCAGATCCTGTCATTTGTTATCCACACTCACTTTCTTTTCGTATCACTTCTAAACGACATTATGTAATAAATTCACCATGTCATCTTTAGGAGATCAAACAGTCGTTAAAACGGCMGCAATCTTTTCATCGCCGAGGAACAGAGGACTCTTCGAAGTTTCTGAAAAGCTTTGAGGTGCCTGACAYTGAGGGAGTTTATCAATTGTTTTCTTTTTTTTTTCAAGCTCGAGTGATCTATTGTTGCTGTTAAGTCGTGGGAAAAAAAAGAATATGAAATCATTTTCAATTAATCCAACTAACTTCTAAAGCTAACATATGCAAGGTCACAGTGAGCATTTCAAAACCCTGCTCTCAGTGCTAATGAAGARGTATAGATGAGTATTAAACTTGAGCTGTTGACAGCTGGGAGTGTTCAGTGGCTTGGTTTGGAAAAAAAGGCTTTTTGCTTTTTTAAGAGAAAATAAGCAGCGAAAAATCTTCCTACTAAAGAAGAAAGCAACCTTAGATGTTCATAAAAAAAACGGTCTACCACTCATAAGCATCCCAAGGCAATGCGCAGCCCACAGGCTGAGTGTCTGCCCTAATAGAGGCTTGACTTCCCGTGTACCACAGCTATAAGTTGCAAAGCTGCAGTCGACTTTGTGTAAGCCTATCAGCGCTAACGCTGAGACAAACAAGAACGCAGGAGCCATCCAATCTCCCTCTGATGAAATCCCAATTAAGGTGGCATTGCTTTCATTGGCAAACAGTTATTGTYTCGCTGTGCGTTTGCAATACGATTTAAATCATTATGTCTGCAGGAGACCTGCGTCAGTTTTCACACAAAATTTAATGTCTTTTCTGGGGGAAAACACACAGCTGTCTGCTGCAAAGCTTGCTATGTTGTGAGATGAGCTAAATATAGTCTTCAGCTTCTCTCCTCGACTCTCACCCTGATTTGCATGCAATCATTTGTTTGATTTGTATCAGCACACAAAWTCTGGACAGAAGCGATCCTTTGGGCTCTTGAGAACGAGCCAGAACAAATAACGGTTTGATGCACACGGTGAAAAGAAGATAGGGGGCACTTATCTAGCAGCGAAGAGGGCTTCCAAAAAAAGCGCAGCTTCAAGTGACAGAGGTACAAGAGCCAGAGGCAGGACCCATTTACCCGGACTCCCTCACAGTTCTAACAGTCACTTTACAGTGGTCACTACTCCCCAGAACAAACTGCGTAAAGTCTTCGTATCTATTGAAAATACAGTGTCCAGACAAAGACAGTGATTTCTACTTCAAGGAACAGAAATGTGGGGTTGTGCTTTGGACAYATTATTTGGCTGAGGAGAGTTAAAAACCTCCTCAACYCTAACACCAACGCCAACTAGATGACGTTGTGTGCAGTAAGGAAACGTGCTCTGCTTGTTTGAGCTCCACAAACTTCAATTCCAAAAACAACAACTCAGCGATTCCCCTGAAGTGAACGCATTTGAACTTTTTTTTTCATCATGAACGCTTAAGCTTGCTTACTAAATGCAGCAGGTAGAGAAGATAAGCAAATAGGCAAGATGTTTTTTTTAAAGTAAATTAAAAACAGGAAGTATAGAAAAGTGGGACAAGGAAGGTGGAGGCAGCCAGGGAGACAGTGCAGTTATCAGGCTGATTAGACACAATGTCATTACTCTGATCAAAGCATGCAGAAATCCCTATAGCCCATCTCACTTTAACGTGATTAGTGTCATTCCTTATTTGACAAGCCTGCCAGGGAGGTAGAGCCAACTGGAGGAAGGAACACTCAGCTGCTAATTATTCATACTGAAACCACAGGCCTTTACAATTATTATGATTATAATTATAATAATTACTGTTGTTAGTAATGTTGCATTTTATTCTTGACAAAACACCTTTTTTTTGTTTTGCTTAGTCACATGTTCTACTGTACAATGTCACAATAACCCGTAAGGAAAGGTCAGTTGTTTTTTAGTCCAAACAATGCTACTTGTATTATTTGCATTGTTGGGTTTTGGTGCTTTTGGAGTTAGCAGAAAAGCACTGCACGGTAAATTTACTCTAGAGATTTTAGTTTTAACAACAAAGACCTTCAYTGTGGCTTTTTTAAGACTTCCTTATAAAAAGCTTTCATCATAAAAAGTTACAGCCCTCAGGTCTTCACAGGCAGACGGCTCCAGATTACCYAGCAGCCAAACATTTCAGCCTTTAATGACAAAAATCAACTGTTTCTGCCACCACGTGCAATTACGATTCAATCAAAAGTTGCGCTCATCGAGGCGTGTACAGCTTATTTACCAAGATCCTCAGCCAAACTCTGCACTTTTTTTTTGAGGTAAGCTCCATTTTGACTTAAAACAAAGTCACAAAATTGAAATGTGACTTGGTGCACTCTGAAATATAAAGTTCAAAAACAGATCAACTCTATTCACGTAAAATCTCCAAACAGTTCAAAAACAGGAAGAATAAAATAAGCTACTGAACATCTGAAACTTTAAAAGAAATACTTAAGGGTTTCCTTCTAAAGCATGAACTATCTGAAAGTTAGTGACTTTAAATAAACAGCCTTATTACTGGAGTTTGAGACAAACTCCAAGACTTTAACAACACGCATTAGTTTGGATGGAACTCCTTCAAATTGTAGAAAGGAACACAGCCCACAGTTTAAGTCACCTCATGTTTTATTAGGATTTTAAAAACCAAAGCACACTAAATAGCATAAGATATCCAGATYATAAAGTACTTTTTATACAATAAAAGTTAAAAAAGGCAGCTTTAAACACTGAAAAAGCCTAAAATGAACTTAAAATCATTCATGACTATAAGTGTAAAATACACAGCATTAAACAAAAACAAAAAAAATACCTTCAAATTTACAAACAAAACCAGAATATTAAAATAAGCCAATAACAAATCTCTACTGTACACCTGAGCCACCTGAGTGGGATAGATTTGGAAAAGATCCTGTAAAGTCAGAACTGTTCACTCACCTGATTCAACCACTCCTAGTTAAAAAAGTACACCTGATGAATTATTTAAACGAACCAAAGAGTGCGAGAATAAAATTAGAATTTTTCAGACTGATAGCAAATTTTCTGAATATTTTGTTGCCTCTTTTTTATTTTCACTCTGAATAGCTGGTATGAATTTAGCTGAATTTCTGCAATTGCAGAGATAGTGAAGCAGAACAAATTGCTCCATTCATAAATTATGCAGTGCAGTTGTTTACTACTGGCCCTTACCCTTCCAGTGGACATTTTACAACTTGAAAAAGACGTTTTATTTTATTTTTTCAGTTTTTTTATATTTTTTTTAGTCATTTTTAGCCTCTTTGACGGCGGAACATTTTAGAGGCAGCAATATTTGTGTTCGAAGCTAAAAAAAAATATTCTGAACAGCAAAACACATATTCTCCTCTCTTGGTTTGCTTTGCAGGCTTGACACTGACTGGATTGTGTGTTTGCATGTAACTTACCCAGAGGTAGCCTTGAGGTAAGGAAGTGATTGCTGTGGAGAAGCCCAGCAGTGCGCAGTGAACAGGACTGTGAAGAGCAGTTTCAAGCTGAAAGAGAGAGGAAGCAAATATTAGTTATTTAATTGTGGCTAACAGTAATTTAATCTTTATTATTACGGTCATCTGGAAAAAAAAGTCATCATCAAATTTCCTATAAGCATGAAGGTAAAGTATGAAATGAGACAAAAGGGTATTTCTAATGATGTCATTTGAAGCCGTTTTCATAGTAGGATTCCAGATTTATTAAATATTCTGAAATGCAGGTTAACACTCTAAATAAAAGAAGCACTCAGCTGAATCCACCAAAAACAACATGAAAGCTCGAGTCACATTCACTTCAAAGCTGAAGAATTGTCTAAAGATGAACCAGAAATGTACTCATTTTTAAAATATTGTAATTGTTTATAATATAATGGTTCAGAAGTTGTAAATACATTGTTGTATATGTCTTTTTCAAGATTTTATTATTAAAAGGGGCAAAATCATGTAAAATCTACTTTTTTGAGTTTTATATCATGTTATAATGTTATACTCTCATAAAAAACATGCCCAAACCCTTGTTTTGACTCATTCATGCAAGTTTGAGAAATCCTGCAGCGTTTTTAGGCTCTCGGCAGTAAAAAAGCAAACGAGTGAAAGTGAAAGTGAAACTTAAACTGTCTGCTGAGCTCCTTCTCACTCAGTGAAGCTCTTTTCAGATTCAAAATACCTTTGATACAATGTATTTTCAGACGCCAAGTAAACTGCATCATAGCGCACGCGCGACCCACCCACACCGAAATGGGCGAGACAGAAGCGGAAGGTGGTTCTTAAAGAGACAGAGGCCAATTTCAAGGCGTTTAGAAGAGGAAGTGATGAGAAGATCAGTTTATTTTGTATTTAAACATAAAAACAGCATTTTAATAGCAACTAAAGGTGACATAGATACTTTATTATGGTATAGTATTTAAATATATGCCTGAGAAACACATAATATTGCCCCTTTAAAGAAACTGTTAAAGGTCCTTCTAGGGACAAGTGTTGCAAATTATCTATGGCTATATACACTGTGATGCAGGCATCAGATTGTTTTAATCTGTTTCTTATATCAATAAACAATAAAAGTAAAAATAAACACGATTGATCTAAATTAGGCAGGCTGTAATCTGTATAATTGGGAATCTGCTAAACGTAAAAAAGAGATATTGAGCAGGAAAACTGTTAAAAATAAAATTGGCATTCCAATGTGGGTATTGCAGAACATTGATCAAATGACATTTCCTCTATTTTTCAGACATTCCTGCTGTTTCTTTACTAAATACATGATTGTGGTTATGTTTGCAGACTTATTTGTGTAAAATGGAGTGACTGAGATGGACCTGTACAGTGCAGAGAGTGTGCCTGATGATGGTACATAAACAACCTCTAACCAGGAGCCCCTCTGTTTGGGAGTGATGATTACTTCGGGATATGAGCGATAAAGGTAGGCCTTGTGGCAGACCCAACAAATAATTATGTGTTGTTGGTATAATGGGGCCAAGGAGCAGCTGAGTTGGTGGAGTTGAGAGGGGAAAAGGGAACGAGAGTGAGGAAAGTGTCAGCGATGAGAGCTCCACATCTTTTACTGTCGTCCTCTATGGCAGCATGCATCAATCACACGTAATTTATAGCCACCCCTGGCAAAGACCATCCCCCTTTTTTCACTGGTTGGGGTTGTTTGTAAACTAAACAAAAAAAGAAAGGAAGAAAAAAAAAGGATACTGGTCAGATCGCTGCCTTTCTCATCTACACCACAAAGTTATTCCCCTCTTCTCATGTCTGTCCTCATTTATTCAAACTCTCTGCACAGATGCATAGCTCATCCTCTCTATCAATCTCCCACAATCCCATTTCTCTTTCCCATCACACACACCTTTTTTATGCCTGCTCCTTTTCTTTTATCTCTGCCTTTTGTCTCCTGCTCCCTTCTTTCTCCTTCAAGAGCTGCGAAATGTTTTTTTGATAGGTAATTAAGCAGGAGCCATAAATGGTGCCCATATGGAAAATGCCCATGGTTACAAGAAAGCGAGTGGCAGTGGACCAGAGGGACTAAAACACTGGTGGGTTGTGCTGGCAGCTCACTGGTGGATGGATTTTATCAGTCACCGGAGACTGACAAGCATTGTAGGCCAATCTATTCCAGCCTTGATAGCATTGTATCTCAGCACATTGCAGTGTCAGTCTGACAATACAAGTGAGATGTATCCATGTTAGAGCCATCTCACTACCTTTTCATACGGTACTCAAGGAAACAGATATAGAAAAATGACCTTAAAATTTAATGAAAAGAATCAGTCTCTTTTTCATGTACCACAATGTTTTTTAAAGAAGAAAATTGCATACCACTTTTACAATAAGGCTCCCTTTATAGATGGCTTGTAAAGAGTTTACAGATAGGTTATTAATTCATCTGTAATAAGTGTTTATTATGCATTAATTAAAGATGAGAAACAGACAAAACTATCTGGTTTCTTGCCAAATAGTGAGCCAAATCTGTTCATATTACATTGAAAGATGCTATATTAAACATTTCAGACAAGTTTACTACCTTGTAAGCTCAATAATATATATGAAAAACATATTTTACATAATATTGCACTGTATTACAGTATTATACATACCCACAACTATCAAAGGGAGTCTTATTGTAAAGTGTAAGTACACTATTTATAAGGCCGCCTTATGACATTTATACACATTTATTAGTCATTAATAAATAGTGCACAGTTATACACTTTACAATAAGGCTCCCTTTGATAATTGTGGATATGTGTAATGCAGTAACACAATATTATATGTAAAATATGTGTTTCCAATACATTTTTGTGCAACCAAGACAGTAACCAAGTCTGAAATGTTTAATAAGCACTTTTAGATGRGATATGTTCATGAACAGATTTGGATCCCTATTTAGCAGGAAACTGGACAGTTTTGTCTCTTTCTTGTTTTAATTTGTTAAGAAAATATACAATGTTTGTTACCCTTTACCTGTTCAGATGTAATACCAGTTAATAATAATGACATATGAATGTTTGAGTGAGCCATACAAAACCATCCGGACACAACTGTGGACTGATTAGCTTTTTTAATGTGCCTCCAATGGGCACCAGCTAAGCAGTGCCCAAAACCCGGAAACACATCAAGTAACAAACCTCTTCACATCCTGACTCCGCCTCATGACATATGTTAAAGGTTGCAGGCTGTCTCTACACGGAGTCAAAATGTCAGACATTATTCCTCACCCTAATGTATAATCACGATTCTTATATGTGCTGTTTTAAATCAGGCATGTACCTAACTAAAAGCCTCCTGAGTGTGTGAAACCCTGGTTAAGAGTCCCACAACCCAGTCTGCAGATAAAATCATCAATTAAATCAGAGATAACCACCAGTTAATAATATATTACTGTTCACCTAATAAAAGACCATACAATGTGTAGTGCCTTTAAAAGTCAGTAGTAAACAACCCCAATAAATTTCTTCAATTCCCCCTTTTGCATAATACACTTATTAATGATTTATAAAGTGTGTACAAATGAAATGATAACCTATCTGTAACCTCTTTATGAGTCATCTGTGAGGGCAGCCTTATTGTAAAGTGGTGCTGAAAATGGTTATCAAAAACAAATGTTTGTCAAAAAAAATTTGGTCACACCACATAAAGTTCACCAAGTCCCCAAACAAGGAGACATATTCTGCTGTCATCAAAACACCAGCAGTGAATATAATCAATACAATAAACTACTGGTCCACTTATCCAACTTCTTTAAGTCAATGGGAAGTGCACGGGTGGGCATAACAAAGCCTGTAAGATTGTTTCCACCCGTGAATGTGCAAATTATATTGATGGGCTCAAAAGGAAATGTGGTCCTAAAGCAACATCCATATCGCTGGCAATCCCAAAGCTAATATAGTATCAGTGAGGCCCCATTTAAAAATCAATGACACCCTAGCTTCCCCAAGTTCTTTGTGCGTCTCGTTTAGATAATAGGTTGTGCGTGTGTGTGTGTGTGTGTGTGTGTGTGTGTGTGTGT